CTGTTAGTTTGACTAGTTTTCAAACCACTTGCGCTTATGTTGCAATTTGGACAATAACATGTCACCAGTATCATACAGAAAGCTTGGTGCTCTAGGTTTTTTTAATTGTGTTTAATTTCTGTACACTGTAATGTACACGATTTTACGGTCGTAGTAGAAAACCAAATCTTTTAAATAGTAACTACATGTAATCATCGTCCATAAAAATTGGAATTAATAGTTCGAAAATAAAGTAGATCATCTGTTTTACAACTTAAAATACATTGATATTATTAAAAATATTCATTGTTACAGTTCACAAGTTAAACCCCTTTTTAGTTTCTAGTGACAGTATTGATGACGAGCCTTAATTATAACCTAAAGTTTTCTGTAGAGCATATATACAAGATAGACAAAACACTACTATTAATTAATATCAGGAATCACCAAGTCATTTGAAGATGCTTTTGCTAGTGGGAACAAGGCTTTCACTTGGACATACATCATAATAAGTAGCAAAAAACGAATTCTGAAGTTATTGATAATTATGGGTGTGTCTTTACCATACATAAAGAACAAAAATATATGGATACGTACCACAACCCATTTATCAAGTACTAGATACGTAAATCCGTGCTTAAGCACAAATTTTTATGTATGAATATGAAAGAACAAAAAAGATTAATGCACTTCAATAATACTTGGAAGTCGAGAGAGACGGAGTGTTCAAGAATTAATTGCAAAATGAGGTAAATTCATCTATATCTATCTATCTATCTATCTATACTATATTAAAAGCACGAAGGCCCTTAGCGAAATGTCGTTCGACTTTTTTACCCTTTTAAAATAAAGGTCGTACTGGATAAAATAGTCATTTAATTATTTTTCTAATCTCACTTGAATAATGATACTTCCAAACTACATACACACTTGCGGTTCTAACTTCAGTCATTCTTTGGAATGCATTTTAAGTTGAATTATTTGACAGGTGATTGAATATTTTTGTTGAGCAGTTTTATTTTTTATAAGTTATATACGACCAATATTTATTATTTTCAAGAACTTATATTTTTATTTTTTAACTCAAAAATAAATTTTTCATTGAGTTAGGTATACACACAAAGTGCATACACTAAGACTAGTAAAATTATAGAAGAATCGGCAGGGTAAAAGCCAAAATTTCATAAGTCAAAATAATTAGTTTTGAGAAGTTTACATCTTGCATGGAATTTTTTTCTTTTCATGAGAATAGTTCCAAAGTTTTGAAAACTATAACTAGCAACACTTGAAGTCATTTTCCATAATACAGTATAACAATATAGTAACAGTTAATTTTCTCGAGACCTATATGCAAATAATACGTATGGCAGCCATCTTCTAGAGCACACGTCTCTTAGCCGATATTACTATCTGGAAATTTCTACTTTAGTTGCTCTGTGTTTCAAGGTAGATATATAGAGGCCCTTGAAATATTCAAATATTCAAATTTCCCACTTTTTATCAGTCTTTCCATTAAATATGATTTTATGACGTAAGATATTGGCATAATCATTTAGGTAAATCTGCATGGAGGATTTGGTTGGGTTGGGGTGGGGGGGGGGTGGGGGGGAGGAGCTTTAATTAGTGTTTTGGTCATTCCATAAAGGTCAACAAAAGCTGAAACATTTTTCCAAGTGAAGCACATCATCCCTCTTCTATGTATGAACTGGGTCAGGAAAATAAAGATGCTTTGACAATAACATAATTAAACTTTCACCATATTTGGATTGGTTCTAGATAATGGAAGAAACATGGCTCCACTAATTTCTCTTAGGTGCTGAGAATGGGACCTTTTTTCTTTTTCTTTATTTTTCCTATAGAAATATTTAAATGTAACACGAATTTCCATTTAGTCATTAGTGTAGTTTAAAGATGTTCCGCATGCAAATGGAAAAGGAAAATTGTTTATTCTTTTCCAGTTTGTGGAGTAATATATTTTTAGATTGCTTCTTCAAAATATGAAAATCATTGAACTATAAAATTAGAAATATTTATCTAACTCTTTAGAAGTATAATTTTTTAAAAAGGGGTGTTCAACACAAATGAAAGGCTAATCTGGGAAAAACTCAGTGGATTGAAAAAGTCAAAGAGGAAACTTTCTTGAAGAAGTGGTGCCGATATATATATTGACATTCCTCACAATTTTTTGTTGTCTATATTAGTTTCACGAATTAGCCAAGAGAAAGGAAAAGCAAACAGATGATCATGAATGAGTAAAGCATAATTTATATAGGCTAATTAATATCGTAAAAGATTTTTGCATATAACGTCATTACTATATTTTACAAGTGGCAGTTGGGTGGGACGAACATGGGACTAACACTTAACACAAACCAATATCCTCTGTACTATAAATTTGGATCCATTTTATTGGTGCACGTGTTTATCCCCTTAATTTCACAATTCAGTTCATATTATGTTTCTTGCCTGTCCTGTTTCCACGAATTCCCTTCTCTTCTTTATGAGTACATTCATTCTCTCGCCTTCAGCTTATGGTTTGATTTTCAGATTTCTGTATCTGCTCTTTGTTATCGCCTCACATGTATCTCTGATTGACGGTGAATTTTTCTTATTTTTATTTTCTTCTTTTTTCCTTTATTGAATCCATATCTTAGTGATTGGATTTTACTACTAGGTGTTAATTTTTCTCTTATTTTGATTTTTTTCGGTTTAAGTTGTACATGCCTGTCGCTATTTCTACTTCTTTTATACATCCATGTGTGGATATATATATTTGGTGCATGTAAAATTGCAGTTTTAGGCAAAGTAGTTCTGGTGACTGACTAATTCCTTTTAGGTTTTTAATTCAATATAACCTATACCTCAAAACTTAGGTTATGATTTTTTCCACTAGCTTTATGCGTATTTTGTTTTGAATTTAAAAGGTTATTCCTTTTAAACCAAGTCCAGTTAACTTCTGCATAAATACATGGACGCTACTTTTGAACAATACTACGAATAAGATGAAGTTTTTAAAAGTATATATAGGGGGGTTGTTGCGGGGGTTGACGTATACGTGAAGGGAAAAAATACTAAGCAGTTGTTCCGATGACGAGGATCCTGAAACGGAGGAGTGCATGGTTTGCTTCAGGCCAACATATCATGTAATTACAATTGGTGATATTTTTTATTTTGCAAAAAATTAAAATTAGGGAAAAATGTCAAAATGCTTGTGCCACCCAAGAAAAGAAACAAGTGAATACTGTCAGGGAATATCTTGATAGTAACTGCTGGGTAGACGTAACAAAATAGTTAAAAGAAAACGGTTATCCACCCATATTATCCATAAAAAATGAGTTGGATAATGAACCATTTAAAAACGGGTCGAATATGGATAAAGAACCATATTATCCACTTAGAAAATGGATAACCAATGGATAGCTAATGTGTAAAGCCTCAAATTGGAGTTCCTCAAGTTTGTAAGACTAGGAATTCTCTCATAAGTGATCATATTTAAGAAGCCATGGATAATACGGATATCCATATTATCCGCCGGATAAATCTGTTTTTTATCCGTCTCAAATACGGATCGGGTCGGATAATTTGTCGTTTTTTAAATTACCCGTTTTGACCCGCTCATATCCGACCCGACCCACCAGTTTGCCACCCCTACTGGTGGGTGGTTCATATTGAGAGATAAGGAATGAACTTCTCATTTTCTAAGTAAGCTATACAAATATTTTACATTAAGTTTAATTTTATATGTCGGTGCTCATGATCATATTTGTTAATGGAGTTATCTATTTTACAGTATATTGGAAATGGGTGTCATGCTTCGCACATGTTGCTATATCATTCATAAGGACAGACTGCAAGATGACAATCTCATAACTTAAAGAGAGTATTGTATCCAAATGCTTTCCCTTTTTGTTTTGTCTTGGCAATATAATGATTTTTGCTTTTTGGAAATTACGTATATTTTACCTCTTTACTGAGTGATTTTATAAGTTTTTTTAAGAAATAATCTCCTTTAGTTGCCTTTTGGAAATTACGTATATTTTACCTCTTTACTTAGTTGATTTTATAAGCTCATGATCGCATAAGTCTACTGCTTATAAAGGATGCTATATTAGACTGTTCTTTACGTTCACTAAGATGCAACCATTTCTTATGTTATATGTGCATAGTTGACGATGCTTTTGGTGAATTGAATAGGACTAGAGACCGGCAGTGCTCTGTGTTGTCCTATGCACATATTTTGCGGAGAAATCTTCTATAATGTACATACACGTGAAGGAAATTATTGATTTTGGGCCACCGATTTCCTATTTTTATTGACTAAAGCAAATTTATTCTTTGAACAATTATGCCTTTGTATTGTAATCTAAAACTGAATTTATCTAATCTAAAATTTTATGTTGGCCCGGTGCATAGCACTGGCAAAACCTGCTACTTTAAAAATATATAAATGCAAGCAATCGTCCTTTAAAATTGAAATTAGTAACCTACAGCATGTTTATATATATATATATATATATATATATATATATATATATATATATATTGAAAATTCTATAGTATATATATGTTAACTTCAAATGAATAAGTGTATTGACACACGTGTGTATATTTATTAGCTATACAAGTGAGTTGGTAGTTATATACAGCTGTAGGTGTATGTAATAATAGGTGTACGTAGTATAAATAGGTGTAGGTACTTCTTTTTCTACTGTACTGTATTCATTTTGTCCTGTATCATTTTTTTCTACATTTTGAGCTAAGTTCATTTTCTAGTGAAATAGAAAAGAAGCTTCCAGAAGTCCCTCGTCTATGGCTTCTCTCGTTCGCCATTAGAACTCACTCGAGGTGAGCTCATCCTCTTCATCTCCTCTACTAATTTGTCATGGTATCAGAGCGAGACTCTCGATCCTAAACTCAATTAGTCAATTTTCCTTCCTATTCGAAGCGTATCCCTACAGAGTGTTTCTGTACGAATATCAAAATTTTCCCAACTTTTCCTCTCAAATCGATCCTTGATAATCATGGCTCTTGATGAAAACACAACGGATTCCACAAATCCGGCCTTGGATTCGACAAATCCGCTCTACATGCATCCATCTGAAAGCGTTGGTTCTATGCTGGTACCGGGACGGATCAGGCTATAGATCGTGGAGAAGAGGAGTTCTGAGAGCTCTCTCAGTGAAGAATAAGGTAGGATTCATAAATGGGAAGTGCAGAAAGCCAGATCCTCAGGATCCTAGCTATGATCAATGGGAACGCTGCGATGACATGGTCACATCGTGGATCCTAAATTCTATCTCAAAGGACTTGGAGGATAGTTTATAGTATGTTAATGATGCTCAGGAATTTTGGAAAGAACTTGAAGACAGATATAATCAAACAAATGGGGCAAAATTGTATCAGCTGCAGAGGGAGATAAATGATTTGAGTCAAGGAACCCTAGACATCACTGGGTACTATACTAGAATAAAGAAACTTTGGGAAGAACTAAACACATTGAATGCACACGCCCAGTGCAAATGCAATTGCACATGTGGTGCTAAGGCGAATATGCAGAAAGCTGAGCAAGATAGAAGGCTAATTCAGTTTTTAATGGGACTGAACGAAGTCTACACTGTAGTCAGGGGAAGTATCTTAATGATGAATCCATTACCGTCGCTCGCACAAGCCTTTTCAATTCTGATCCAAGAGGAGAAACAAAGAGAGGTCAAGCCAAACAATCAATTGGTGATTGAGTCTACTGCCTTGAGTGCTAACAGATCAGGAGGAAATCACTTCAGGACAAACTTTGGTCAACAGACAAACGTTGCAGACAACACTGGATATATGAACTACAATCAACAGGGAAATAGAACTGGAAACAACAACTACAGGGGAGGACAATTTGGGAATAGGCCACAACCTTTTTGTGACTATTGTAAGAAGCCAGGTCACACTAAGGAAAGATGCTACAAGTTGCATGGTTACCCTCAAGATTCAACATTTAATAAGGGAAAGAGAATTGCTGCCAATGTACATGGAAGTCAAAGAGAGGGTGTCATTGAAGGTGGAGATGGAAACAGTGGACCTGCACAGGAACAAGACAGAACTATGCAGAATCTTACTAAGGAACAATATAATCAGTTGGTGAGCATCCTGGAGAATTTTCATGCTAGAAATGCAGGAAACAAAATGAAAGCATGAGCTGTGAATTTTGCAGGTATCTCAGCTTGTTCAACTCATTTTGATTCTGGTTCTAGCTCATATCAATGTTCTAGGTCTGTTGCTGACTCTTGGATACTTGACTCTGGGGCATCAAACCATATGACCTATAACAGATCCATGTTAATCAATGTGAAAACCTTAGTTTACCCTTTCCTAGTTACTTTGCCCAATGGTTATAAGGTGAAGGTGACATTGATGGGAGATGTAGTAATGAGCCATAAGTTCACTCTAAAAAGAGTTCTCTTTGCTCCCAGTTTCAAATTCAACCTAATCTCAGTACATTGCTTGACAGTTCAGTTTGATTGCTTTGTCATATTCACCAAATTTGTTTGCATCCTTCTGCGGGCCCCTTCACTGAAGAGGCCTCTGGGCAATTGGTGAGAGTAAGGATGGTCTGTATCTCTACAAATCAAATTCTTGCAAGTCCAACACTTCAGATTTCTGCAAGCCTAATTCCCTAGTCTTTGATAATTCATCTAGTGCATCAAATAAAGGTAATGTAATCACTCAGTCTACTCCATCTAGTATAACCAGTAGCAGTAGTGTTAGTCCACACTCTGATTTATACATTGCATCTAGTTTACATAATTCTTTTTTTCCTACTACATCTAGATCCCACACTTCCTCTTCTGAATGTAATAAGATTGTCACCAACTCTCATGTGCAATATGAAGGAAATATTAGTCCTACATGCAATGCATCTATGAATGATAAACACATGATTGATCTCTTGTGGCACAATAGATTGGGACATGTACCCTTTGCCAAAATGAGAGGTATTGAATCCATACCCTTTCAATTTTCACCTAAACAGTCCTTCATTTGTCTAATATGTCCAATGGCTAGACAAAACAGACTGCCATTCCCAGAAAGAACTACAGTAACAACCAAGATCTTTGAAATCTTACATGTAGACTTGTGGGGGCCCTATCATGTGCCAACACATGATGGGAATAAGTACTTTATCACCCTAGTGGATGATTACAGCAGGTGCACCTGGACACATCTTCTTAGGTGCAAGAGCAATGCCCTGCAAGTAATCAAAGCTTTCTCTGCCATGGTAAAAAACCAATTCAACTGTTCCATTAAGATCATTAGAACAGATAATGGCCTTGAGTTCATAAATTCTGAGACTGCTTCTTTCTTGCAGTCTGAGGGAATTATACACCACAAAACATGTCCCTATACACCTCAACAAAATGGCATAGTCGAAAGAAAACACAAGTACCTTTTGGAGATAGCCAGGGCACTATTGTATCAGTCCAAACTCCCCATGCAATACCGGGGAGAATGTATTCTCACCTCAACATACTTGATTAACAGACTCCCTTCTATCACTCTTAAAAACAAATGTCCACTGGAGCTACTATACAAAAGAAAACCCAAATACTCTCACCTCAAAAGCTTTGGATGCCTCTGTTTTCCTACAAACCTAAAACCTCACAAAGATAAATTTGAATCTAGATCCTTACCTCATGTCTTTGTGGGATATCCTTTTGGGACAAAAGGCTACAAGGTACTCAATCTAGTCACAAAGAAAATTCATATTTCAAGGGATGTTGTATTTCATGAAGGTGTATTTCCTTTTGCTTTGCACTCTAGCTCTAACAGAGTCTTTCCCTCATTTCCATAAGTAAATGAAGATTTAGCACAAGAACTATTTCTTTCTCATAGGTCAACATCTATTCTTACTTTTCCTAGTACATCACTCCCAACAATGTCAACTGATCCTTCATCACCAGGGGCAATAGAACCTAACCCTCATATGACTTCAAGTTCAGGAGAACAAATTTCCTTATCTGATAATAATGAAACTCATGAAACTCTGTCTAACAACACTCCTAATTCAATAATACAAGAATCTAATGAAATTTCAGGAAGGCCATCCAGAACCCTCAAAGTCCCCACTTACTTGAAAGATTACAACTATTCACTACCCAAATTGCAAACAAATCATCCTGACTCTCCCTCTAGTAGTAACCAAAGAACCACCTCTCTTTCCTTCAATGCTTCCATACCCAATGCCCAATGTGTCTCACTCAATGCTTTGAATTCTGATAGTCAGCAACTGATCAAAACTATTTCTCATGAGACTGAACCCAGTTCATATGAGGAGGCAGCTGCTGATCCTGCTTGGCAGGCAGCTATGAATCAAGAGTTTGAAGCCCTTTATGCTAATCACACTTGGAGTCTTGTGCCTCTTCCAAGTGGAAAAAGGGCAATAGGTTGTAAATGGGTATACAAGGTGAAGCACAAAGCTGATGAGAGCATAGAGAGATTGAAAGCAAGGCTAGTAGTGAAGGGATACACTCAGGAGGCTGAGGTAGACTACACAGAAACATTTTCACCAGAAGTTAAAATGACAACTGTTAGGGCTCTAGTTGGGATAGCAGTAAAGAAAGGCTGGGACATTTTTCAATTGGATGTGAATAATGCGTTCCTTCATGGAGACCTTCATGAAGAGGTATACATGGAAGTACCTCCAAGTCTTGCTGTAGAGAGGTCAGACTTAGAGCCCGTTTGGCTTAGCTGATTTAGAGTAGCTGATAAGCATTATGTGCTGAAAAGCACTTTTAAGTGCTGAAGCTGATTTAAAAAATAAGCAGTTACGTGTTTGGATAAAAGTGCTGAAATTAATAATATGCAGCTGAAGAACTGGATATACGAAGAGTTTTGTTTTAAAAAGAAGTATTTTAGGGATAGAATAGTTAATATTTTGGTCAAACTTAAAGTGCTTATAAGCTGAAATTTGATAAGTTGGGGGAGACCAACTTATGGCTTTTGGCTTATTTTCGGCTTATAAGTACTTAACTTATAAGCACTTTTAACTTTACCAAACGCGTAGATAAGCCAAAAAGTGCTTATACGGCAGTTTGACCAGCTTATAAGCTTAGCCAAACACCCTCTTAGTATGCAAATTGAATAAGTCCATATATGTGTTAAAGCAAGCGAGCAGACAATGGTATGAGAAGTTGACTGAAGCACTTTATTCCAGGGGATACACACATTCTTTATTAGACTATTCCTTGTTTTACAAAAAGCATGGAGATTCAGTGGTGTTTGTGGCTGTCTATGTAGATGATGTCTTAGTAACAGGGACTGATTTGCAAGAAACAGAAGGACTAAAAGTCTACTTACATAAGACCTTCAGAATAAAGGACTTAGGAAGACTACATTATTTTCTAGGACTAGAAATTCTGTATAAAGGTGATGGAGTGTTGATATCACAAAGGAAATTCACAATGGATTTACTATCAGAATTTGACTGTATGAAATATTCAGCTTTGACCTCTCCACTAGATCCCACAGTCAAACTAAGTGCAGAAATGGGGCCTTTGTTGCCTGATCCTTCACACTTCAGAAAACTAGTGGGAAAATTGAATTACCTGACTAACACAAGACCTGATATATCCTATAGTGTGCAACATTTGAGTCAGTATATGCAAAGTCCTAGGGAGCCACACTTGAAGGCTGCATATCATGTGCTGAGATATCTCAAAGGTGATCCAAACCTAGGGATCTTTTTATCCAACAACAAAGATTATAGAGTTCGAGCCTTTTGTGATTCAGATTGGGCAGCTTGCCCTGACTCAAGAAAATCAGTTAGTGGCTATGTTGTATTGCTGGGTGATGGACCTATCAGTTGGAAATCAAAGAAGCAACACACTATCTCATTGTCCTCAGCAGAAGAAGAATATAAAGTTGCCAGACAAGTTGTGGGAGAATTGGTATGGCTACTGAGGTTACTTGCAACATAAGACTTTTCAGCACTATAATCCAAACTTCGTCGAGTCTGAATGTGAGTACTGGACACTTAATAAGAAACCGAAAAAGAAAAAAGAATAAGTACATCACTTCACTTAGTAAAATAGGATAAAAAATAAAATCTGTGCTGACTTGGAGATTCCAAGCTAGACAATCATTAGGTCCACAATGGGGGCCAAGACATTACTTCTTCTTGGTGAATTGGTAAGTCTTATATAAATGCATATTTGGTCAATCGTCACTATCTTCCAGACTTAGTCCTTAGTTGATTGGCCTTTTCTTCCTTTATTTGTGCATTTTAGGAATCAACTAGCTTTTCAATTGGTGAATCAATCTAGTTAATTGATCATTTGAATAAGTTATTTAATTAATTTATTTATTTGTGTAAATTTAGTTTAATAAGTAGGATTAAGGAAGAAATTTGGCCAAATTTGAAAGAAAAAGTGGCCAAGAGTGCAAGATAAAGGGGTGCCATTGAAAGAATCCGGAACTACGTAGTTTTGCCTCAAAACTACGTCGTTTCATTAAGTGAATCAAGATTTAATCTTAGCCACTCATCATCACATGATCCAACGGTCCTGATTAATCTCCTACCCTAGGTATTTAAAGCCTAGTTTGGCCAAATTTTGCCCCCATTTTGCTTTATTTCCCTTTCTTCTTCCCCTCTCCTCACTCTCTCATCACTCTCTCTTCTCTCTCCCAGGTCCGCCCAGCGCCACCCACCGCCGCCCATCGCCGCCGGCGGCGGCCAACCCCCAATCAACCCCAAAATTTTACCATCTCTTCCCCTCTTCCTCCTCTTTCTACCTATACCACTCATATCCTCCAAATCTCCACCAATCTCCATAGATCTACTAAAATCCGAAAAAACCCTAGCCGCCATCTACCACCTCCAAACCCCATAAAAATCATACCACCGGCCTCCTATCACTCTCCTCTTCTCCATTCCACGCCCCAAAACCTTCCAAACCCCTCGAAAATCCGACAAGTTTTGGCCAGCCACCACCGACCACCCTACTGCCGCCGCTTCGACCGCCGCCCAGCTTCCGTCTAGCAAAATACGACCCCTTAGTCTCTCTTTCTCTTTGACACAGTACTGGACTCAACTTGGTTCGCCATACGTGTTTCAGCATTTGTCATCGAGAAAAAGAGGCGTGGAGGTCGATTCGCCATCTAGTTGTGTGGTACTACTGATTTGGAGCCCGAGCGTTTAG